CAGTTAGAGCTGTATCAGTCTGGTGGTGCAATATGTCTTCCCATAAATTCCTCTTCTATAGACACTATAGTTGCCAAAGGGAATATTCTATTAATCACACCTTCTTTACTGTATAACAGAAGTCTTTGCTGAGAATCCTCTTTCAGACAGTTCGGTGCCAGAATTCGTTTATCTAACAATGGGACAAAAGCTGTTGGCTTCCCAAATATGCAGGTCAAAGGATTCCTCATTTAGATATGCAATGAAGGTGGCCAGCCGTTCATGAAGCTTAGTTTCCCAGAAAAGGGTCATGAAGTGGCTTGCTTAAATTCCATAAAGGGTGGGCCAAGATTTGCCTTGGTGTATGCTAAATACAGGGGATTTGAAGCTAGCCAATTATGAAAGAAAATAGATTGGCCAACCAATCAGAGATACTCCATGAAAATTAATTGAGGAGAGGCCTATAACTATGGACATGAGAGAGAGAGAGAGAGAGAGAGAGAGGGGGGTCTCTTTTTGGAACACTAGGGGAAGGGAATGGAACTTGTACGTCCAGTTCCATGGTAATTACGGAATATATCCCTCACACTTGTATCTTGTCTTGTGTTTTTTCTGTCTCGTTGTTTGTATCTTGTAATATGTTTGAGCTTTCCTAATTATGTTTCTTTTATTTAACTAGATAGATTGTTGGTGTTAGTTTAGACCTCCATCCCATTCACCAATAAATTTTGGTTGTTGTGTTAAACCTTTCACTCCCAGGTAATAACTCTGTCACAAGTTAGCCTGCAGCCTCTTGTTTGTTTATTCTTACCTCCTTGCTGCTCCTGATTCCTTCACATGTGTGTTTGTCTGTGCTCACCTGTGGGCGTCGTCTGCTATCCTCTGGGTTTTATTTTTTTCCCTTCCATCACTTCCTGGCCCGCCTCCTAGTTTTGCTTGTCTATATAAGACATGCTCAGTCTAGCTCTTTTTGCCTGAGCAACGTCTTAGTTGTTGGAGCTCCCGTGTGTTTCTACTGTGAATCCTATATTGTCTATCTGTGTACCGACCTGTCAGGGTCCTGTCCACGGCAGAAGTTCTGGAAGATCTGGCATTTCTGCCAGTACTGTACATGGCAGCAGAGGTACACATCAGCCTCAGTCTGGTGCCAGACGGCCTTTATAAGGAGGCTCATCACTTCCTCTAGTTGCTGGATGATCTCTAGCTCCCCGTGCCCTGTTCCTGTTTCCTGCGATTCTGACTTGTGATTTCCTGTTACCGGCTCGACTTGCTCCTGGACCTGTCTACTCTGATTTACCCCTGATCTGACCTCGGCTTGGCTTACGGATACTCTTTTTCTCTCTCGCTCCTTTGTGAATGACCTCGGCTTTCCCATCTGACTACGTTCGCTCTGATTCCCACCTGGTACCTGACCCTGGCTTGAACCGATTACCAGTAAACATCCAAATCCTGGAAGGGCTTGCATACTACGCACAGGCGCCTCCTGTCTACAGACCTATGTCCGTGCACCAGCTGTGTTTCTGAGTGGACCACCGACCAGGACTCCTACCGGCGACCTGTGCAACCCTTTGGGCCTGACTCCCGCTGTCCCACTCTCAGGGGAGTCCAGAACTTAGCCGCAAGCCCTTTCTCCATTGGCCTCCATCACCAGGTATGTGATAGTATCATCCAACCAGTATGTCCGAGGCTGAGAGAGGCGCTTCCGCACTAGAGGCCCTGTGCCAACAGATGACGGCCCTTACCCAAGCATTGAATGATTTACAGCAAGGATACTTCAAGCTACAAGGGCATCTTCACTCCCTCTCTACTTCCGTGGACCAGGATCCCTCCGCCAGTTCCAACCCAGTAGCCGCACCTGCCAGTCAGTCTCCTGCCACCACTCCTGCTATCGTGTTACCACCTCCGGAAGCCAGAGTTACTACTCCGGAATGTTTTCTCTGGGGTCAACGTAAGTTCAGAGCTTTCAAGAATGCCTGTGAATTATATTTTGTTCTGCAACCTAGGACCTTTTCTCTGGTCGGGTTCATTATCTCCCTCTTGTCTGTGGAACCTCAGTCTTGGGCACATAATCTTATGAAACAAAAGAGCCCAGCACTCAAATCAGTGAGTGAATTCTTTGAAGCCATGGCTGCCCTCTATGACGATCCCCAGAAGATGTCCACTGCTGAGTCCGCCCTCCATGCTCTACTACAAGGTCAGCGGCCTGTGGAGGACTACATAGTGGAGTTCCGTAAACAGTCTGCAGACACCGGTTGGAACAATGCAGCATTGAAGTACCAGTTCCGCCTAGGCCTGTCCGAGTCCCTCAAGGAAGAGTTAGCTAGGGTGGAAGCTCCCTCCTCCTTGGAGAACCTTATCCTGCTCGCTACCCGGTTGGATCGGCATCTATGGGAAAGACGCGTTGAGCGTACTCAGACATTTCAGCCCACTTGGGTTCTGCCAAAAGTTTCAGGGCCAACGGCTCCTGCCCTTGCTCCGCAACCCATCAACAATTCGGAGGTAGAACCTATGCAAATCGGCCTTCTCCAACCTTCCCTAACTCCAGAAGACAGGCTACTGTAAGGGATTTCCGGTGAGACGATTTACAAATAGAAATGCGCATGCGTGATCACGCACACAAACGCGCACGTGCACACGCAAAGACTGGCACCAGACAGACTATTTAAAGGGTGCCTCTGCCTGTGCTGAGTACTGACTGGTCTTCAGCTGTTCCCCATTTCCTGCTCGCTCCTGTGTGATTTCCTTGTTGCTGACCCGGCTTGTTCCTGACCTGACTCTGATTACTCTACTGCTTGATACTGGTTCCTGACTTCGGCTCTGCTCCTGACTTCGGCTTGCTTCTGATTTGGTACCGCGCTGTCCGCCTGTTGATGACCCTGGCTATTCCTATGACACTGCTCCTGTCTCTCACCCACCGCTTCCTGCCTTGCTCTGGTGCACACTTGGCGACCTACCATACCAGCTCTGCATATTACTACTGTGCCTGAATCGGAGGTTCATCAGTCTTCCAAGGTCCAACATCCACTGGCGCTCTTGTCCCCCTGCTCCCTAGACACCCTCTGTTCCACCTCCAGTGGGGTTAGGGCTAGTAACACAAGTGAGGCCGACCTCGTCATTTCAGTCTCCTATCAGGTATGTGACAGCTACGCAGACAGCAAGGCAACCTCTGTCTTTACTGTGGGGCCATGGGCCACTTCCTGCGTAACTGCCCAGTAAGCCCAAGTAAGTCCAGCTAGCCTCATCCTTTGTACCTTCAGCTATCTGGGACTTTAACCACCCATGTCATTCTCCCCATGTCATTGCAGGTGGCTGGAAGGGATGACAAGTTGCGGGCAATCGTTGACTCGGGAGCTTGTAGCTGTTTCTTAGACATCCAATTGGCCAAGGACTTACACATCCCTCTTCTGCCTAAGAAACAGAGACTTGATGTCTTACTTGCGGATGGCACTACTCCGAGTTCCGGACCTGTTACCCAGGAAACCATTCCTATTCTTGCAACCACCGAATCCGGCCATCAGGAGTTTATTTGTTTTGACGTGATCAGATCCCCCATGTTTCCAGCCATCCTAGGAATACCCTGGTTGCAAGCCCACAACCCACAGATCAATTGGCCCAAGAAGGAAATCATCTTTTCTTCAGAATATTGTCTACAACACTGTGGTGCCCCTACACCCACCAATTCTTCCATATGTCTCTCAGTCCAACCTTCACCAGTCAACTAGTTCCCTCTACCTCACTGGAACTCCATCGTGATCACTAGAGATGAGCGAAGTATTCAAAAATTCAATTCGGCTGATTCGGCGAATTCGAGAATAAATTCGATTCGATGCGAATATATTCGCTGCGATTTTAACTTATAAAAGGGTGTTTCTAGGCTTCAGAGAACCTTTATATTAGTGCAGAACACTGTACCTTTAATTTAAATGCCCTTGGAGTCTGCTGGGGAAGAGAAATAATACTGTCAGTCAGTATGACATGCAGATGAGTGCCGTCGATCTTAGAATCACCGCACACTTCACTCATTTGGGCAGTCACGGGGCCAAAACCAGAGTGTGGAGACACAGTGTGGCGGTGGAGGCAGCAGCAATGGGAGGCCATACAGCACCCTATGACAAAAATGGAACCCACGAGCAGTGTGTGGAGACCTGAAAGTGGCACATGGCAGAGTGTGGCGATGGAGACAGCAGCAATAAGAGGCCGTACAGGGACCCATGACACACTCTGGACCTGGCAGCAGCATTAGGAGGCGGTACAGGGGCCCATGGCAGATTACGGGCCTGGCAGCAGCAATGGGAGGCCCGTAATCTGCCAGCACCCTATGACAAAATGGAACACACCAGCAGTGTGAGGAGACCTGAAAGTGGCACATGACAGAGTGTGGCGTTGGAGACAGCAGCAATGGGAGGCCGTACAGGGACCCATGACACACTCTGGACCTGGCAGCAGCATTAGGAGGCGGTACAGGGGCCCATGGCAGATTACGGGCCTGGCAGCAGCAATGGGAGGCCCGTAATCTGCCAGCACCCTATGACAAAATGGAACACACCAGCAGTGTGAGGAGACCTGAAAGTGGCACATGGCAGAGTGTGGCGATGGAGACAGCAGCAATGGGAGGCCGTACAGGGACCCATGACACACTCTGGACCTGGCAGCAGCATGAGGAGGCGGTACAGGGGCCCATGGCAGATTACGGGCCTGGCAGCAGCAATGGGAGGCCCGTAATCTGCCAGCACCCTATGACAAAATGGAACACACCAGCAGTGTGAGGAGACCTGAAAGTGGCACATGGCAGAGTGTGGCGATGGAGACAGCAGCAATGGGAGGCCGTACAGGGACCCATGACACACTCTGGACCTGGCAGCAGCATGAGGAGGCGGTACAGGGGCCCATGGCAGATTACGGGCCTGGCAGCAGCAATGGGAGGCCCGTAATCTGCCAGCACCCTATGACAAAATGGAACCCACCACCAGTGTGAGGAGACCTGAAAGTGGCACATGTTTGGGGCATGATTCATGGCGGATTTAGTCAGTTGTGTCAGGAACTGGTGGTTTGAAATCCAGACTAATCCACGCCTGATTCATTTTCACAAACGTGAGTCTCTCCACACTTTGGGTGGACAGTCGTGTCCTCCGCGGAGTTACAATACCTCCTGCCACACTAAACACGCGCGCTCCAATGCCACGCTACTGGCCGGGCATGACAGCCTTTCAAGGGCAAATTCAGCTAGTTGGGGCCAAAGGTCAAGTTTCGTTGCCCAGTAGTCAAGGGGATTGTCTACCTCGGTTGGCAGGGTGCTGTCCAAGTAGGCCCAAGCCTGTTGTTTGAGGTCCTGCTCCAGGTCCACCTGATGCTGCTGCTGCGGCTGGTTAGTAGTTTCCTCACTGCGCTGGTGAAGAAAGCTACTCATCATCGACTGCAGACTGAGGCAGCCGCTGCTGGTGGAGCTGCCACTGCTCCTACCACCCCACCCCTCCCCTGCTGCCATGGCAGCGGAACGCGAGCGCACAGGGCCCACAGTGTCTGAGGATGGACGTTGGCGCACAAAGGCAGAGACCAGCTGACTATATAGGTGGTTTTTATAGTACTTTATTTTGGCCTCCCTCTCAGCAGGTGTGAAAAAGGCCACCATTTTTGAACGGTAGCGAGGGTCCAACAAGGTGGACAGCCAAAAGTCATCCCTCTGTCTGATGGTTATTATTCGGCTGTCGCTACGCAAGCAAGCGAGCATGCTATGGGCCATTTGTGCCAAGGAATGCGAGGGACTCCCTGCCTCCATCTCCACAGCATACTGCCACGGTGCGTCTGGGTCCTCTGTCTCCTCCTCCTCCTCCTCTACCAGATGCTCCTGCTCCTCCACTCCTGTCCGCTGAGTGGAAAAACCACCCATTTCACTCAATAATTCCTGAGCACCAATGTCCTCCTCTACCTCCTCCTCTTCTTCCTGTCCTGCCCCCACAGGGGTCATGTGGTGTTGAGATCTGTGCGCCACGTCTACCGCACCCTGACCAGCCATTGTTAACAGCATTTGTTCCAGGACGTGCAACAGAGGAATGACGTCGTTCATCCCATAGTCCTGCCGACTCACGAATAGCGTGGCCTCCTCAAAGGGCCTGAGCAAGCGGCAGGTGTCACGCATGAGCTGCCAATGGCTGACATCTAAGTTACACAGGGAGTACCTTTATCCGCTTGTAACATCAGGAAATCGGTGATGGCCTTTCGCTGTTCGTAAAGGCGGTCTAACATATGTAGGGTTGAATTCCACCTTCAGAATGCGCTTATATCATATATCGTGCAAAACTGTGCAAAGATTATAAATATATATTGTAAAAAAGAAACCCCAGTGAATCTCAACATAAATTGTTCATATACAAAAGTCCAAAATCCCAAATTATTTCTTCTTAAATCAAATAAATCCACCGTGCTCAATCCACCACCAGATGAATGGAATAAACTCACCAGAGCTAGATGCTGATCAAATTATAAATCAGCACAAGCGTATTTGCTCTGGGAGCGATGAGAAAATCCAAGGAAACACCCTCCTGTAATTAGAAATCCAGGCACCAGGAGCAATACTCCGCAACCACTCTACGATATGGCCAGGACTTTTTATACAGTGGTCATCCTCCAAACACATGATAGTATCACTCCAAAATAAAGAAAAGGCATGATGGTGCAGTACGTAAAAACTATGTATGTTTATTTAAAATTCATATTACTCACAAAGCAAGTGTCCACCTGACACTGGTATAACAAGCGATAGAGATGCACAAAAGCATATAACGAACGAACGAACTCCGTTCACTGCGGACACCTCGCCGACAGTTGCCGGGAACGTCCTGACGTCATCCAATAGGCTCCGCCCTACGCGTTTCGTCACACTGACGTCCTCACGGAGCGGCATGGATTCAGACGTCAATTCCATTCATATATACCGCTCGCACTCTGCACAGCGGTATTTCTTTATCCAATCACAGCGGCGCTATAATGATATACCGCCGCTCAATTGGCAAAGATACAGTTATATCACAAATCCTACAATCACATATATCCGAAATATCGGATATATGTGATTGTAGGATTTGTGATATAACTGTATCTTTGCCAATTGAGCGGCGGTATATCATTATAGCGCCGCTGTGATTGGATAAAGAAATACCGCTGTGCAGAGTGCGAGCGGTATATATGAATGGAATTGACGTCTGAATCCATGCCGCTCCGTGAGGACGTCAGTGTGACGAAACGCGTAGGGCGGAGCCTATTGGATGACGTCAGGACGTTCCCGGCAACTGTCGGCGAGGTGTCCGCAGTGAACGGAGTTCGTTCGTTCGTTATATGCTTTTGTGCATCTCTATCGCTTGTTATACCAGTGTCAGGTGGACACTTGCTTTGTGAGTAATATGAATTTTAAATAAACATACATAGTTTTTTACGTACTGCACCATCATGCCTTTTCTTTATTTTGGAGTGATACTATCATGTGTTTGGAGGATGACCGCTGTATAAAAAGTCCTGGCCATATCGTAGAGTGGTTGCGGAGTATTGCTCCTGGTGCCTGGATTTCTAATTACAGGAGGGTGTTTCCTTGGATTTTCTCATCGCTCCCAGAGCAAATACGCTTGTGCTGATTTATAATTTGATCAGCATCTAGCTCTGGTGAGTTTATTCCATTCATCTGGTGGTGGATTGAGCACGGTGGATTTATTTGATTTAAGAAGAAATAATTTGGGATTTTGGACTTTTGTATATGAACAATTTATGTTGAGATTCACTGGGGTTTCTTTTTTACAATATATATTTATAATCTTTGCACAGTTTTGTACGATATATGATATAAGCGCATTCTGATTTTGTTTGTTTTTTATTTTTTCACCAATATTTTTGGGGTTAGAAGTTTGCAGCTTTTTATAGAATTATTTTTGATGATTGGCGCTTTCTGTTTATTATTATTTTTGAATTCCACCTTGTTGCAACGTCACAGCATGAGGAGTCGGTATGGGGGCCCATGGCAGATTACGGGCCTGGCAGCAGCAATGGGAGGCACGTAATCTGCCAGCACCCTATGACAAAAAATGGAACACACCCAGCAGTGTGAGGAGACCTGAAAGTGGCACATGGCAGAGTGTGGCGATGGAGACAGTAGCAATGGGAGGCCGTACAGGGACCCATGAGACACTCTGGACCTGGCAGCAGCATGAGAAGGCGGTACAGGGGCCCATGGCAGATTACGGGCCTGGCAGCAGCAATGGGAGGCACGTAATCTGCCAGCACCCTATGACAAAAAATGGAAACACCAGCAGTGTGAGGAGACCTGAAAGTGGCACATGGCAGAGTGTGGCGATAGGGACAGCAGCAATGGGAGGCCGTACAGGGACCCATGAGAGACTCTGGACCTGGCAGCAGCATGAGGAGGTGGTACTGGGGCCCATGGCAGATTAAGGGCCTGGCAGCATCAATGGGAGGCCCGTAATCTGCCAGCACCCTATGACAAAAAAATGGAACACACCAGCAGTGTGAGGAGACCTAAAAGTGGCACATGGCAGAGTGTGGCGATGGAGACAGCAGCAATGGGAGGCCGTACAGGGACCCATGAGAGACTGTGGACCTGGCAGCAGCATGAGGAGGCGGGGGTACTGGGGCCCATGGCAGATTACGGGCCAGGCAGCAGCAATGGGAGGCCCGTAATCTGCCAGCACCCTATGACAAGAAATGGAACACACCATCAGTGTGAGGAGACCTGAAAGTGGCACATGGCAGAGTGTGGCGATGGAGACAGCAGCAATGGGAGGCCGTACAGGGACCCATGAGAGACTCTGGACCTGGCAGCAGCATGAGGAGGCGGTACTGGGGCCCATGGCAGATTACGGGCCTGGCAGCAGCAATAAGAGGCCCGTAATCTGCCAGCACCCTATGACAAAAAATGGAACACACCAGCAGTGTGAGGAGACCTGAAAGTGGCACATGGCAGAGTGTGGCGATGGAGACAGCAGCAATGGGAGGCCGTACAGGGACCCATGAGAGACTCTGGACCTGGCAGCAGCATGAGGAGGCGGTACTGGGGCCCATGGCCAGATTACGGGCCTGGCAGCAGCAATGGGAGGCCCGTAATCTGCCAGCACCCTATGACAAAAAATGAACACACCAGCAGTGTGAGGAGACCTGAAAGTGGCACATGCAGAGTGTGGCGATGGAGACAGCAGCAATGGGAGGCCGTACAGGGACCCATGAGAGACTCTGGACCTGGCAGCAGCATGAGGAGGCGGTACTGGGGCCCATGGCAGATTACGGGCCTGGCAGCAGCAATGGGAGGCCCGTAATCTGCCAGCACCCTATGACAAAAAATGGAACACACCAGCAGGTGAGGAGACCTGAAAGTGGCACATGGCAGAGTGTGGCGATGGAGACAGCAGCAATGGGAGGCCGTACAGGGACCCATGAGAGACTGTGGACCTGGCAGCAGCATGAGGAGGCGGTACTGGGGCCCATGGCAGATTACGGGCCTGGCAGCATCAATGGGAGGCCCGTAATCTGCCAGCACCCTATGACAAAAAATGGAACACACCAGCAGTGTGAGGAGACCTGAAAGTGGCACATGGCAGAGTGTGGCGATGGAGACAGCAGCAATGGGAGGCCGTACAGGGACCCATGAGAGACTCTGGACCTGGCAGCAGCATGAGGAGGCGGTACTGGGGCCCATGCAGATTACGGGCCTGGCAGCAGCAATGGGATGCCCGTAATCTGCAGCACCCTATGACAAAAAATGGAACACACCAGCAGGTGTGAGAGACCTGAAAGTGTGCACATGGCAGAGTGTGCGATGGAGACAGCAGCAATGGGAGGCGTACAGGGACCCATGAGAGACTCTGGACCTGGCAGCAGCATGAGGAGGCGGTACTGGGCCCATGGCAGATTACGGGCCTGGCAGCAGCAATGGAGGCCGTAATCTGCCAGCACCCTATGACAACAAATGGAACACACCAGCAGTGTGAGAGACCTGAAAGTGGCACATGGCAGAGTGTGGCGATGGAGACAGCAGCAATGGGGAGGCCGTACAGGGACCCATGAGAGACTCTGGACCTGGCAGCAGCATGAGGAGGCGGTACTATGGGGCCCATGGCAGATTACGGGCCTGGCAGCAGCAACATGGGAGGCCCGTAATCTGACAGCACCCTATGGAACAAAAAATGGAACACACCCAGCAGTGTGAGGAGACCTGAAAGTGGCACATGCAGAGTGTGGCGATGGAGACATCAGCAATAAGGAGGCCGTACAGGGACCCATGAGACACTCTGGACCTGGCAGCAGCATGAAGAGGCGGTACAGGGGCCCATGGCAGATTACGGGCCTGGCAGCAGCAATGGGAGGCCCGTAATTCTGCCAGCACCCTATGACAAAAAATGGAACACACCAGCAGTGTGAGGAGACCTGAAAGTGGCACATGGCAGAGTGTGGCGATGGAGACAGCAGCAATGGAGGCGTACAGGGACCCATGAGAGACTCTGGACCTGGCAGCAGCATGAGGAGGCGGTACTGGGGCCCATGGCAGATTACGGGCCTGGCAGCAGCAATGGGAGGCCCGTAATCTGCCAGCACCCTATGACAAAAAATGGAACACACCAGCAGTGTGAGGAGACCTGAAAGTGGCACATGGCAGAGTGTGGCGATGGAGACAGCAGCAATGGGAGGCCGTACAGGGACCCATGAGAGACTGTGGACCTGGCAGCAGCATGAGGAGGCGGTACTGGGGCCCATGGCAGATTACGGGCCTGGCAGCAGCAATGGGAGGCCCGTAATCTGCCAGCACCCTATGACAAAAAAATGGAACACACCAGCAGTGTGAGGAGACCTGAAAGTGGCACATGGGACAGAGTGTGGCGATGGAGACAGCAGCAATGGGAGGCCGTACAGGCGACCCATGAAGAGACTGTGGACCTGGCAGCAGCATGAGGAGGCGGTACTGGGGCCCATGGCAGATTACGGGGCCTGGCAGCATCAATGGGAGGCCCGTAAATCTGCCAGCACCCTATGACAAAAAAATGGAACACACCACAGTTTGTGAGGAGACCTGAAAGTGGCACATGGCAGAGTGTGGCGATGGAGACAGCAGCAATGGGAGGCCCGTTGTACAGGGACCCATGAGACACTCTGGACCTGGCAGCAGCATGAAGAGGCTGTTACAGGGGCCCATTGTGCAGATTACGGGCCTGGCAGCAGCAATGGGAAGGCCCGTAATCTGCAGCACCCTATGACAAAAAATGGAACACACCAGCAGTGTGAGGAGACCTGAAAGTGGCACATGTTTGGGGGGCATGATTCATGGCGGATTTAGTCAGTTTGTGTCAGGAACTGGTGGTTTTGAAAATCCAGACTAATCCACGCCTGATTCATATTTCACAAACGTGAGTTCTCTCCACACACTTTGGGTGGACAGTCATGTCCTCCGCGGAGTTACAATACCTCCTGCCGCATCTAAACACGCGCTCCGATGCCACGCTACTGGCCGGGCATGACAGCCTTTCAAGGGCAAATTCAGCTAGTTGGGGCCAAAAGGTCAAGTTTCGTTGCCCAGTAGTCAAGGGGATTGTCTACCTCGGTTGGCAGGGTGCTGTCCAAGTAGGCCCAAGCCTGTTGTTTGAGGTCCTGCTCCAGGTCCCACCTGATGCTGCTGCTGCTGCGGCTGGTTAGTAGTTTCCTCACTGCGCTGTGAAGAAAGCTACTCATCATCGACTGCAGACTGAGGCAGCCGCTGCTGGTGGAGCTGCCACTGCTCCTACCACCCCCACCCCTCCCCTGCTGCCATGGCAGCGGAACGCGAGCGCACAGGGCCCACAGTGTCTGAGGATGGACGTTGGGCTGGCCAGAAAGGCAGAGACCCAACTGACTACATAGGTGGTTTTTTTTTATAGTACGTTATTTTGGCCTCCTCTCAGCAGGTGTGAAAAAGGCACCATTTTTGAACGGTAGCGAGGGTCCAACAAGGTGGACAGCCAAAAGATCATCCCTCTGTTGATGGTTATTATTCGAGGCTGTCGCACGCAAGCAACTGAGCATGCTATGGGCCATTTGTGCCAAGGAATGCGAGGGACTCCCTGCTCCATTATTATTATTATTATTATTACTACGAGTTTATATAGCGCCAAAGGGTTTGCTCAGCGCTGTACAATAGCGGGGGTGACAATACATGGCACACAACATAGACAGACAGCGTATAAGGAGGCCCTACTCTTACGAGCTTACAATCTAGGAGGGAGGGGGTAAAGGTACAGTAGAGAAGTGGCTGGGGGGGTATGAAGTGGTAGGAGGAATGAGGGAGGATGGCCGTTAGGTGAGCTCCATCTCCACAGCATACTGCCACGGTGCGTCTGGGTCCTCTGTCTCCTCCTCCTCCTCTACCAGATGCTCCTGCTCCTCCACTCCTGTCCGCTGAGTGGAAAAACCACCCATTCACTCAATAATTCCTGAGCACCAATGTCCTCCTCTACCTCCTCCTCTTCTTCCTGTCCTGCCCCCACCAGGGGGGGGGGGTCATGTGTGCGTTGAGATCTGTGCGCCACGTCTACCGCACCCTGACCTAGCCATTGTTAACAGCATTTGTTCCAGGACGTGCAACAGAGGAATGACGTCGTTCATATGCCCATAGTCCTGCCGACTCACGAATAGCGTGGCCTCCTCAAAGGGCCTGAGCAAGCGGCAGGTGTCACGCATGAGCTGCCAATGGCTGACATCTAAGTTACACAGGGGAGTACCTTTATCCGCTTGTAACATCAGGAAATCGGTGATGGCCTTTCGCTGTTCGTAAAGGTGGTCTAACATGTGTAGGGTTGAATTCCACCTTGTTGCAACGTCGCAGATCAGGCGATGCTGTGGAATTCCGTTCTGCCGCTGCAGCTCAAGGAGGGTGTGCTTTGCGGTGTAGGAATGGCTGAAAGCATGCAAAGTTTACGTGACATTTTTAAGGATGTCTTGCAGTGGGATGGGGGATTTTAGGAACCGCATTGACAACCCAG